CTGGCACTCGGCTGTGCCCCCGGTCATGAGTGTTTGCCGTGGGTGGGTCCTCTGAGGAAAGCAGAGACCCTCAGACCGCAAGGCAAGCGGTGGAGGGTGGAGTCCAGGCTGGGGGTGGGCACCACACCAACCAACAGGCTCTACTTCAAGGAACAGCAGGGCAGTACCGAGGAATCGCGAGCAGACAAGACTGCTAGAGTCCACCTCGAGGCAATGTCTCTCCCCAAACTGGAGCCTTCTCTTGGGGACCAGAAGGTGGCCCAGCAAACGTCAGCAAAGGAACCAGAGCAAGACATCAAGGGACATGTGGCAAGCCAGAGGCAGGCGACAGGGCTTCAGCCACGGCTCAGAGGGGCCCGCCCTGGGCCTGGTGAGTCTCAAGCTCGCTAGGGGGTGAAGGTGACGTGCCTGGGCTCCCAAGCCGCTCGCAGCCCCAAGGCGTAGCTGGTGGAGCCCCGGCGGGAGCAGGGCAGGCCACACCCTCACCTTGTTGGCCTGGATCAGGTGGAAGTTCTTCCCGTGCACTCGGAAGCCATGCTCAAAGTTCCTGCACTCCTCCTCGCTCCAAGCACAGAACCCATCTGCAAGCAGGAGGGAGGGCACAACGGCATCAGCAGTGCCCAGGACGTGACAACAGAGCGAGCGGGAAGACCTGGCGCTGCACGCTCACCTCGGATCACCTTCACGTTGAATCGCAGCCTCCGCAGAGCCTCCTCTGCGTTGAAATTGCATTTCACCAGCTCATAAAGTGCCTGGGGGGAAGCCACGCTCACTCTTCCAACCTGCCCGCTTCATCCCACCCAACCCACCCCGGAGTAACAGCCAGGGGCGTTCACACCACCACAGGGCGGGGACGACATCAGGGGGCATTCAGACCACCACGGGGGCGGGGATACCGGGAGCACTCACACCGCCACCGGGGTGGGGAATGTCAGGGACGTTCACACCCCCACCAGAGTGGGGGGACAACATCAGGGAGCACTCACACCCCCATCGGGGCAGGGATACCAGGAGCACTCACACCCCCACCAGGGTGGGGAATGTCAGGGACGTTCACACCACCACCTGGGTGGGGGGGACGACATCAGGGGGCATTCAGACCACCACGGGGGCGGGGATACCGGGAGCGTTCACACCGCCACCGGGGTGGGGAATGTCAGGGACGTTCACACCGCCACCGGGGTAGGGATATCGGGGTGTTTATACCATCATTTCCCCCTTGACAAGTTGTTTTTCATTTCAATTTGCCACCATCACACGACCACACTGGCGCACCTCCCAAACCCCCTCCCGCCCTTGCGTGGGCCCTGCCCTCTGACTCAGGGTGCTACAGCGCCACCGCCCTCTGCGCCCCTGTGGCAGCCCCACCTGCTCGCTGTCTTTCACCGTTTCTCCCTCCGGGAGCTGAGACCCAGCCATCTCGTGCCACCTGCGCTTCACTGCCCGGTACAGGAACTCCTCCACCTCCCTCTCAGGGAGGACGTTGGGGTCCCAAAGCAGCTGGTCGTCATTCTCATAGACTGTGGAGAAGGAGAGCCAGGGTCACATCACAGGCACGCGGCCTGCACCCACCTCCGGAGCTCACGCGCCCCTCTTCCAGCGGCCCCGTCAGAAGCACCTGTCAGGGCAGGCCATCTCAGCTCCTTCCAGGGGACTCCCCTGGTTCTTCCACAACGAAGACCGTACACACAGATATCAAAAGATACTATTTCATGACCAACTAGCGTTTACTCCAGAACGCGAGGTTGGTTTAATGTTTGAAAATCTATCAATATAAAGCATTACATGAACAGGATGGAAAAAAAAACAACCATCTCAAGAGACTCAGAAAAAATACTTGACACGAGTCCAACTTGTTCATGGTAAAAACTGTCAGCTACTAACAGGAGGGAACTTTCTCCTCTACAAATAAAATTATGTTTGTTTATTTATTTATTTTTTGAGAGAGCATGAGTGCAAGTGAGGAAGGGCAGAGAGGGAGGAGGGAGAGAATCCCAAGCAGGCTCCAGGCTCTACACTGTCAGCACAGAGCGCAACACAGGGCTCGAACTCATGAACCATGAGATCACGACCTGAGCTGAAACCAAGAGCTGGACATGTAACCGACTGAGCCCCACAGGCGCCTTATCCAATACAGAGCACCTACAGAAGCTTAGAGCCAACAGCATACTAAAGGGGTTACTGAACACTTCCCCCAACTTTGGGAACAAGAGAAAAACGTCCTCTATCACCTCTAGATCCTAGAGGAAAAACCAGTACGACAAAGCAAGGAAAAAAAATAAAAATACAAAGATCGCGAAGAAAGAAAGCCATCGCAAGTTATGCCACTGAATACCTAAGAAAACACAAAAGAACCTACAAAACATTAAAGTTGGTAAATGAGCTTAGCAAAGTCACTCCGTACAAGATCAACTAAAACAAACTGCACTTCTACTAACAGAAATCAAGTACAGATGAAACTTCTGAAAACCTCTCGTAAAGCAGCACAAATAGGAGCACAAAGTATGCACAGGACTGCTGCAAAACCACGGCTGGCCCCGCTGGGGTTCGAGAGGGAACCACACGTGTGGACGGCAAGTGTCAATACCACAAAGATCAATTCTGCACAAATTCATTTCAGGGTCCAGGGCACCTCTGATCACAATCCTGGCAGGCATCTTGAGGCAGCTGACAAGCTGTGCACAACTTGTGTGGACAACAAGGCTCCAGAGGGTGGAGGCCTGGCGTCGTCTCCCACTTCCTCTGAGCGGCAACAGTAAGACAGCGTGCTGATGGCCAGGGTCCCGCTAGAGAGACCGGCAGGGCAGCAGCGGACCATTCCAGAAGCAGTGCTGGAGCAGCGGCACACCACATGGGTTAAAGCAGTCCTGACCCACACCTCCAACCACACCCTGGACATGAAGCCAAACCTCGGCTTTCTGTGCAGCAGGGAAACAAAGCAGAACGTCTTGCACAGAAACTTCTCACCGGCACACACACTGTGGGCAGAGTGAAAGCTTGGCCGCTGCCTCCCGGGAGGGACCGTGGCGGCACACGCGGCAGATGACAGACTCGTACCCGGAGCGCAGGAGGGACTGCCACAAATGAGAGAGAGAGAGGCACACCGGTTCGAAAGAGGGGAAAAGCCTTGAGCAGGTGCCTCACAACAGACGCAACGGCCAGTAAACGTGTTTGCCCTCAGAGAAACGCCAATTACAGCCACAAAGAGACGCCCCTCCACACCCGCTAGGAGGGCTCCAGTCAACATCACATTGTCACGTGTGCACAGGGACGCGGAACGTCGCCGGAGGGGCCCCTGACAAGGGTCTCCTGACCAAAACATGAGCCGACAGTGCAGCTCCCAGCCATCTGTCCGGGAAGAGAGAGACACACACGTACACGTTTCGCGGCCACACGTGCCAGCCGTAGCTATCGACCAACAATAGAAGAGATGGGCCACGCGGTCCGTCCACACAAGGAAACAGGGCACAGCGCAATCGAGGTTCTTCTCGGGTGCAGCACAAAGGGAGATGCCAGCTCCCAGCCCCTCGGGGTCAAGGGCCGGCTTGCAGAAGAGGAAAAGGCCCAAAGCCCAGACGCTACTGAGGCTGCGGTTCCAGACTGGGGTCCACCCGTCCTCAAGACCCTCCAAGGGTGTACCTGAGGAGTGCGCACTGGTGCCTCTTTCTGGCGGACAGTCTCGGGTTCTCTCACAGACTGACCTCCACCTGACCTCCCTGTGACCCAGCCGACCTGAGCTTTCCCGGCCCCTCCTTTACCCAAACTGCTTATGGTGCAGCAACCACGTGCCACCAAGCCCACATCCCAGCCACCAGCCAGAGCCCCTGACATCTCCCCTGCCTGCCCCGTCTCTCCACCAATCTCAGCTGCTGAATCAACCTGGGAAAGACCCCTGGCCATGAGTGCCAGCCCCAGGCTCACAGGGGCTTTGGGGCCCGGAAAACAAGACTCAGGCCAATAGCCAGGTGACTTCACGTCCCATTTTCTTCACCTACAGCTGGAGGTGTCAACGCCTATCTGGAAACACAACAAGCCTCATCCCATGTTCTAGGGGGATCGGGGACAGACAGACATCAGGTCCGGGACGGCGAGCATCCTGAGCCTCACCCCATGTTCTAGGGGGAACAGTGCAAGGCACAGAGACCCTAGTCTCTGGAGGACACTTGGGACAAGGTCCAGACACATGAAGGGCCAAGCGGGGAAAGGTGTGCATGCCCAGAGAGACGAGGACAGTGACCTGGGCAGGGAGGAAAGGGGCAGAAGGGGTGAGCCGAGGGCAGCAGAGGGGTACCAGCTGCACAGGGTGGCAGGACCACACAGCACTAAGCTGGAAGGACAGTGAGCAGGATGGGGCGTCAACTGACCCACCCCTTCCTGCCCTGGCCTTGGCCCCAAGTGTCCTATAAGCTCAGGGTGGTGCAGGGGGCACCTGGCCTGAGCCTGGCCCCTCAGATCCCCCCACCAAGAAGGCATGCAGCAGGTTCGATCCTGACTGGACTGGGGCTCTCCTCTCTTCTCCTCCCTGTAGCCCACACTCACCAGGCCCCACTTACTTTTCTCACCATGGCGGTCCAAGTGCAGGCTGCTGAGGTCAGCTTGGAACTGAGGCCCAACCATGATCTCCTGCAAAGGCAAAGGCCCAGGACACTCAGGGATGATGGGAGGCCAGGCCACAAGGTGATGACATGGGCCCCTGGGTGGCTGCCTAGAGCCCAGGGCTCATCTGTGCAATCTGCCCACAGATACCAAGTCCTGTGATCTTGAGCACAAGAGGCAGAGGTGGATGTGTGTGCGTGTGAGTGACTCTGTCTACATCCACTTATCCATCTGTCTGCTATAGCTGTCATGTGGCCGGGGCGGGAGGCTCAAAGACCCAAGGGTTCTGAGGTCCAGTCTGAAGGCCCCAGAAGGACCTCCAGGACAGGACCTTGGGCCACATCACAGGGACAGGACTCCAGGGACAGGTCCTCAGGCCACATGATGGGGACAAGAGCAGCAGGTGTGAGTCTCAGTCCCCAACAGCACGGTCAGGCCGCAGCCCAGCTCCCCTCTCAGAAACCACGTGCTCAGCCTTGCCCCCAAGGGGCACAGATCCAGGTTCAAGGCACCGCTGGGTCAGAGCCACTCACCTTCTTACACTTGTTGGCAGGAAGAGGGTCCTCCTCTGTGTCGGACGAGGTGGAGGAGCCAGGCTCTTTGTCTCCGTCAGCCAGGAAGCAGGCTTTGGGGAAAGGGGAACAGCTGAGTCGCGCCCACGGCAGTCTGAGTGGCCTAACTGGCTAGTGGGCCCTGGAGGGCCACTGCCTGCACTTCCCCCTGACTCTCCATCCACCTGACCCCACACTTTGCCCTTCCAGAAAAGGAGCCTGACCCTGGACAGGCGATGGGTGTGAGATGGGCACAGGGCACAGGACAGGGGACTCAGGAGGTACCTCACACTGCCAGGCCTCACAGGCAGGCAGAGTCGAGGGGACGGGCTGTCAGCTACAAGAACCCGCACATTCCCTCCTCATGTAAACCAAAGCCATTCGTGTCAGCTCACAGGCCAAGGCAAGGAGACAGGAGCCCCTGAGGAGCTCAGACTGAGATCGGGACACATCCAGGTGCAACAGACATCCGTGCACAAGTCCTCGATCCCCAGCATCCCGGGGCCCCTTCCCCTGCATCACCAGAGCTGTGTGTGGCCCGCCCCCAAGGACAGTGCAGGAGCGGCCGGGACACCTACGTCCACTCCGGTTAGGAAACAGATCGGAGGCCGCATGGGAGGTCACGGACGGGGTAAGGTCATCAGCCGAGGACTGTGTCTCTTCCTCTTCTTCCCCTGAAAGCAAATCCTTCGCTATTTGTTCCTTTTAACAAGAAAGCAAAGAACGTTTTTGTGGTTTGTTTCAACAACCTCGAGACGACGCTTAATAACAAGTGACCGCGCTAACTCAGCGACTACCAGCAGCAGCCTCACGCTGGAAACGCCCCGAGAGCGCCCGTGGGTGGTTCCTTCCGCTCTGAAGATGAAGGGACCAGGCACGAGGACAGGCCGGCAAGGGGACCACTCCTTACACCCAGGGTCAGCAGAGCCCCTCCCTCCTGACACCTGCCCCAGAGGGCCCGGCCCAAGGGCATTTCTCCACACCAGTCTCCACTCGGCCCCTTCTCTAGCCCCTGCCCGTGGCCACCCAAGCCATGGGTGGGAAGCCACAGCCACTGAATCAGCTCTGACTCTGGGGAGTGGGGCGGGGGAACAGACAGGGCTCTTGAAGCAGTAGGCCTGGCCTGACGCCGCAACAGCACATCTGTGAGCGCCAGGGCCTTCTCGCCTGTCCTCCCTGAACCCTGCTCCCAGTCCACTCACCTTGTCCAGGGTCATGTCAGGGAGATTGGCTGTGGTGTCACTGCCCTCGCTCTCCCGCTCCGAGATGGGGTCTGACGCTTCATAGCCATAGAGGGCAAGCAGTTCATCAAGGGGCATGTCGCTGCTCTGCAGGGGCCAGGGCTGAGTCAGGAGGCTGCTCGGGGTTCTGAGCCACGTTGGCCACCACAAGCAGAACCACCTCGTCACACTCACAGCAGCTAACTCCAGCCAGACCCCAGGCCCAGTCCTTCAACCAAAGACTCCCTTACGACCCCCAATAGATGCAGGGACAAGACACCTGTTCCCAGAGAAGTCAGCTATTTGCCCAAGGTCACCAGCCTTGAAGGGTGGGGCCAGGATTGGCCTCTCCATCCTCACGGCACTGCCCAGGCTTAACTCCAGCAATGCAAGGATGGCTCGATACCTGTAAATCTACCCTCACAACTTATGATGTCAATAAATCAGACGGGGAAAAACAAGACCATCTTAATAAACGTGAAAGAAACATCTGGGAAAATCCAACATCTGCTTCTGATTGAAAAAACCAAAACAACAACTACAACGACAACGAAAACTCAAGATGCTAAGTAGAGAGATGTCTGCCTCATCAATGTAACAGAGGTGCCGTGAGCCCTCAAGGGGTTGGTAACGAGCCACCAGAGCAACCCCATCCCATCTGAACAAGAAGGGAGGCTCAAGCCCACCGTAAGACACTACACGCCAATGCAACAGGACAAGAAACAGGAATGAGACATTTGATGACTGGGAAGAAAGAGACAAAACTACCACTGCCTTCCTCTCTAGTGCTGGTCGCTGTTCCTCACACCCACCTGTCTGCTCCTGAAGCCAGTGTTGTCCAGCCACACTGCACCCTGACCCTGCGGGTCACAGCCAGCCTCCAGCTCCCTGGACCTCCCTCTCATTCTCTCAAGATGCCTGCCTCCCCTGTACCCCAGTTCCTGCCCTGCCCTCACCCCGGGGGGCTCCAAGTCCACGTGGAAGAACACCCAACTTGTGCCCAGCCCCCTCCCAACTGACCCCGAGGTCCCCCTTCCACCCTCACGGGACCCCACTGACAGGGACATTCGTTACCTCCACCACAGTTTCCAACCGTGCATTTGTTGGGGGATTAACACAGTGGCCCAAAGACCCCCTGGGCTCCCGGGACCCTTTCTGGGGGGTCCCAGAGGCACGGCAACTTTCACGGTAATAGGACGTGACTTCCGGCTCTCGCTGTGCTGGCGCTGGTGCCAAGGGAGCGAGCCAACGGTGGGGCACAGCACCCTCCGGTTGAGGCAGGAGCACAGGGTGTGCGAGCGGTTAGCGTGCGCACCTCCCACCACCCACTCAGCTGTAAACGTGCCATTCTCGCTCCAGAATATCCTGTACAAAATCACTGATTTCATCAACTCTCCCTCTGAGCAGCCGTGGTTCAATTTGCCGCGTGAGGAGACAGGAAGCACGCGGAGTGGCCGCCACACCCTGCAGTGAGGGTTTGTGCAGAAGCACCAGGGTCACAGCCGTGCCGGACGCACACCGTCCTGAGCTTGCCGCTGCAGCATACCGGACGGCATGGCTGGCAGGTGACAGTGGTCTGGCCCGGCGCAGACGCCTTCGGACACGGGCCAAGTTGGCCGTTACGTCCAAACAAACAACTATGTGCTACAAGGGTGAAACTCTGGTCCCTGACGAAAAAATTAGAATTTTGGGAACTCTGGATCTGACAACGTGTGCCTGACAAATTCACGATCCTGTTAGGTAAGGTCATACAGAACGGCAGTATTTCCACAATTACCTTGGATGTTATATTCTTTCCTAATCAGTTTTTAAAAATTACGTCTGAAGAAAACCTAGATAAGGTATTCAACTAATAAATGGCTGACTTTAGTTTTTGGTTAGATTTGAGAAGTTTTAAATTCACGTTAAACTTTTGTTTTTTTCTTTGATGTTTATTTCTTTATTTTTGAGAGAGACAGAGCATGAAAAGGAGAGGGACACACACAGAAAGAGAGAGAGAGAGAGAGAGAGAGAGAGAGAGAGAGAATCCCAAGCAGGCTCTAGCTGTGAGTGCAGAGCCCCAATGTGGGGCTCAAGCCCAGGAATCTTGAGATCATGACCTGAGCCAAAGTCAACAGTCAGATGTTTAACCGACTGAGCCCCCCAGGTACCCATGTTTTCTTTTTTGTTTTGTTTTTAACTTTTTTATGTTTGTTTATTTTTCAGAAAGAGACAGACAGAGTGTGAGCAGAGGAGGGACAGAGACAGAGGGAGACACAGAATCCGAAGCAGGC